TCTCATTAAAATTAACTATATTTATTATCTACAACTATATCTATTTTTTTTTAATTGGTGCAATAAAGAGCAATTAATTAAACAAGTATATATATTCATAGACACACACACATACATATATATATATATATATATATATATATATATATATATATATATATATATATATATATATATATATATATATATATATATATATATATATATATTCACACACAAACATATAGGGATGCCATTAAAAAATGAACATAATATCGACATCTTTGGTAATTCTTTAGTGCAGTTTACTAGGCTTATTAATATTATGGATTGGTAGTTAGGTCTTTTCCAATTGTATAATTGTTAGTGTACATTGACGCTTATCTGTGAGAGCTGTATACACCTTTAATTGATGTGTTCATATGGCCTTAAGCTTGGTAGTGAGGAGTAAGATGTTTTTGTTCAAGTAAACTTAGATTTAAGCATTTTTTAATAGTAGTTTTTCTCTTTTACTTATTTATAACATTGTGTATTGTCTGCTTAATTGTGTGAGCATATTGTTGGTGTGTCTTTCCTAAATAAATAAATAAATAAATAAACAAGTTTTAGAAATGATATTACAAACACTTGTATTTATGAATAAGACTGTATTATTCTGGGTATTTTCTCTACATAATATGTTTTGCAAAAATAAAATTGTTTAACTATCAGTTATCTATTCGTAGTTCCCATAGTACAATATCTACTTAATTTTTCACTAGATGGCGTTATGTTATGTGTCTAATGGTGTTTGTTACTATTATTACTTGTGTCACGATAGACGTTGCTTTTATGGAGAATAATCGAAAATTATTACCCTCAAGCTCGGGGGTAAAGCAATAAATAAATATTATGATATAAAATATTAGATTAAAGAATTTGCACTTGAAAACTGATCCGAGGGTTCATTTTAATTTTACTCGACAATTCGTGCCGAGAATATCCAGTTTCAATAATAAATTTCTATTTCATACTTCAGCTTATAAATGGAAGTAACTTTGTTTTTATGAAATATAGTACAGGAATATCTTATACCCTGAAAGGAAGTCTAAAACGATGGAATGTGACAAAGTCACAATAAAAATAATCTAATAAATTAAAGTACCGATCAGTTATGTATTATTTTTTGTTTTATTTTTAATTTTATTTCTCAACAAATGGTTTTTTACATGAATGAATTCTTTTTGTACCTTATAAAGTTTTATAGGTTTGTGTTATCACTGCATGGTCATGTTCGTGTTAGTATATTGTACCTACATTGCATATGCATTGTATATCATCATCATTATTATATCAGCCTTTGACTGTCAATTGCTGGGGGGAAAGGGATTGTTAGTAATGGAGACTGAGAATCCCATTGCTAGCAATATACCCAACCATGTCGATCTCCTTGCGGTTCCCCCTAGAAACTATCATGGTTAATTCCTGATGAATTCATTATGATGGGCTAGCTGGCATTTTGCACCTGTTTGCATTCTCATCTATCACCCTTCACTGGTGCTTTGCCAGTGTATCCCGTTAGCGCAGGCAGGGTTACCGTACTATTTTCATCCATCAAAAAAAAAAAACTCCAAAACAAACTCCACTGCTGATGATAAGCCTCCCCCTTGGAGGGTTTTGCCAGTAGTTAACACACTTGGCAACCAGATATATGAGACCAAAAATGAATCGATATATTTTTACATACTTTTATTAGTTACTTATATATTTTTTTTTTCTGAACATGAATTTATTTACAAGAAGAAATAATAACAAAATATTACTTAATCCAATATAACATTAAAAAATGTAAAAATATATATATTTAAAGATAAAAAATCACATTTAATTAATATTTTAAATAAAAATCTAACGTTTTATAACCATGACTATGCAAACTATTATAAAAACGATTGATCTTAAATTAACTGTTGATATTTTAACATTGATAAGAGAAAGGTTTAACTACGGATTAGTTATTTCTATAAACACGAGTTTAAACTGTAATTGGTATCACGGCCATAAATATGTGAATTATTACTTACACAGAAAATGGTTTCCAGATCCGCGAATTCAGCGATTTGAGAAATTTTATCGTAAATTTACTGCATACTAAAGCTGTCTTTCCTTATCGTTTAATACTCGAACAAGTTCCGACGAACAATAATATTCCGTGGGTATGTGAAATCTGATTTTGTAATATAAATTAGAGGAATTCTGTGGTTTCGATTTATTGGGAACCTTTGTAGCTCAGTAGTAGCTAAATAAATGGTTCTTGTAAACAAAGATCAATTTATAATTAAAAAAATCAACATTCTATAGTAGTGGATGGAAGAGAAAATGATATTTAGTTTTCAATTTTATTTTGACGTGTTTACATAATATTATAAAGGAAAAGAAAATTCAGCTCTTTGGGGGTAAGGGGTAAATTTATATACTTATCTGGCCTATTTATACTGAAAATATTTATTATTATTATTATCATTCTGTTACTTTCTCTAAGATTGACTGGGAGCGAATGCTTTAAGCATTAAGTTCGCCTTGTGTATATTTTTTGTACTAAAAAATAAATTACGTGAGTTGCAGCCGAAGGACTTAAAAAACCGAAATTTACTTAATACAATTTGTTAAAATATAATATTAAAGGATAAAAAACTTATAATTAAATTTGTCGACTCTGTGGATGGATGTAGATGTCTCGAGGCGCGTTGATGCCATCACGCGGCCTGCTTGACGTCAATGCTGGGCATGTTCCGCTCCATCAGCTGTGCGGATTGCTGTCTCTCCCAAGGCTCATGTGTATCATTTATTGGAATCACGCGAATTCAGCAGCCATCTTGTTTTATGATATCGTAACAAATAAATAAATAATAAAACAAACAAGACAGTAGTTGCCAATAGTTGCCACGCTTGGCAACCTCAGTTTGGCTTCTGATGATGTTTTAAGAGGGACGCTGCTACCTATACCTTCACCATATACTTCCTTAGTCGCCTCTTACGACATCCATGGGAAAGGAAGGGATGGCCTATTCTATACCGGGCCCACACGGCGATAAATATATAAATACATAAAAAAATTGCCTATTATCATCATCTCCATATAACAATGGAGAAGGTGCCTTGAACAACGTACGGTGGAGGACCGTCACTCATCCAGATGATTGGTATAGAGTTTTAGTTTGTGGCGGGTTGTACGGTGGTGAAAATTAGCAGTATCATCAATCATCTGGAGGAGTGGCGGTCTTCCACCGTGCGTTTTTCAAGGCACTTTCTTCCACGCACAACCATTCTTTGGAATCAACTTCCAGCAGCAGTATTTCCGAACCGATACGACAACATAACCTTCAAGAAAAGAGTATATTCCTTTTTAAAAGGCTGGCAGCACAACTGCAATGCCGCTGGTGATGTGGGTGATCAGGGGCGGCGGTAGTCACTTACCATCAGGTGAGCCGCATGCTCGTTTGCCCCCTGTGTTGTAAAAAAAGATATCAATTTAAACAGTTCTTCAGAGCATACCCCATGATAAATTTATGTTTGTGCACAGCAAAGAATAAAAAAAATAAACAATACAACCGAATTGAGAACGTTTTTGAAGTCGGTTAAAAATGAATGGCAAGTAAAAAAGTAAATTTACCTCTGACAGACGAAGCTTGTTAGCTTTGAAAAACAATTCCTATTTACAGAACTACGAGTACACTTTGTGGCGTGGCTTGGTATAAATTTGGATTAACATACAATCGACTACAATGGAATAGTAAAATGAAACGGCTAATTGAACTTTTTATTTATTTTTGGAACGAATTTTCACATTGTGTTTTATCATATATATTTCCTTTGTACTGAAAACTATGAATTGTATTTTTTTATTTATTCTTCATTGCATAATAAAACCTTGTACAAGTGGCGAGCTTAATGTCATATGACATTGTCTACCAGCTAAGCGTTAGGTAAAAACAGAAAGTATATAAAGGGCAGAGGCGGTGAAAAGTATATGACATAATTTACTAGCATATTTAAATATAAATTAATAACTATATATAAATTAATAATTATATACATTTAATTTTTAATTAATAACTAAAAAGTTTCCAGGAATCAAAAAGGCTACTTGATCTTCTTGAATTCGTGTTGCTAAAAATATTTTATGTATTGATTATAATTCGATAGATGCCACAATCAATTTTTTAATAGTTCATTTAACAGATGTAATGATACAATCAACGATTACAAATTCATTGTAATTAATTAGGACACTATTGAGATTTTTATACAACTTAGAATGGCAAACAAGCTGACGGAAAGCGGATGGCCCACCTGATGGAAAGTGGTAACCGTCGCCTATAGATATGAGACATGGACATAACAGTGTATATTGTTTCGCCCATAATACCTCCCTTGCGTTGCCATTCCTGAGGACTCAGGTGTTATTCCTCTATACCCTGTAAATTCACGCTATATCCCACCCTTCAAACCGAAACACAGCCATGCAGACAACTGCTTTACGGTTGAAATACAAATACACAGGACAGAGGTACTCAATCAATCGACTTTTGTACAAAGTCTCCCTCTGGTAAAATAATATTTACTGATTTTACTGATTGCCTAATATTTTCTTTTCAATATTAAATAGCTCTATATGGCCGTCTATGGGAGAGACCTATGTTTAGCAGTAGACAAATAATGGCTGAGATGTTAGTGCTCATAATTATGTTTTGCCACGTACCATAAAACGAGCAACGAAAAAAAAAAACGTTTTTTAATCTAGTTCTAGTTTTAGCTTCCGTTATATACGTCTATACAATTTTAAACGATTATTCAAAAAATGCTGTGCTGTGCGTCAACTCATTTTGGAGTAGTGGGTTGACACATCCCACGCACAGTAATTTGGCGTAATTGCACGGCGTAGTGTAGTGTTACTCATGTCTAGACTGGACTGTGCTGCTGGTGTAAGAGCAATAAGACGGAATTATTCTATAAAAGCAATATTATACAAGATAACTTACCTATTCTAGAGAGATGTTTTAGATATACCTGCAAATAAAAAATATATATGTATATAATTCATCGTTTGGATTGGGATTTCTTAGTTTGATTTCTTCGAGTGATGGAAATTCATTATATCAATAATAATTTAATATTTTGATTTAAAAACTAAACCTTTAAATCGATTTTGATAAACATCTGAAAATATACCGTTTTAGATAAAAAAAAATCTAAATCGGTTTATTAATGTCGGGGTTATGAGGTAACAAACATAAAATACAATTGGAGTGAGGACCTCCTATTTTTTTGAAGTCAGTCAAAAACAATAATTCATTCATAAAAAATCTCATATTTCTGACATTAAATACTTGTATTTGTATGGCTCTTCTATTATATAATTAAGATTGTGTTAAAAAAACAATAAAAAAACTGTTTAAAAACTGTGAAACTTTGCGTATCATTCTGCATTGTCACAGAGCATTCTGTGACATTCATGGTGCTATTCATATATATTGACGACAGTTATTACTTTCCATCAGATGAGTCATCACCTTATTTGCCATATCAAGCTGCATCCATCAATCACTTTATGTGCGTTGCTGAAGTACTACAATCTCGTGATTGAACGTGAGTGATGCAGTGACCTAAATAATTGCGAGATTTTCTTTCGCGAACGCGCAGGCTGTGGAATGAGCTCCCTGCAAAGGTTTCCCTTAGAAACTACAGTATGGTATTCTTCAGAAAGGGTATATTAAGGTTTATTCAGGGTCAGCAACGCCCACGTGACGCCTCTAGTGTTGCGGGTATCCATAGGGACCGTTTACCATCAGACGGGTTGTATGCTTGTTTGCCAACTTTCTGGTTAAAAAAAGTAACCTATAATATCTACATCTGTAAATTATTTGATTTATATGACCAGATGCTTTTGTCTATTTTTTTTATATATGGCCGTGTGGTCCCGGCATAGAATAGGCGAGCCCTTCCTGTCACATGGTTGTCTTAAATGCCTACTAAGGGAGGCCAGGGGTTGGGCAGCAGCTTCCTTCTTAAACCATCTCTAAATCCTGACTGCGTTTGCCAATCCACTTGCCAAGCGTGGCAACTACTGGCAAAACCCCTCAAGGCGGAAGCTCATGTTTAGCAGTGGACAGTTAAAGGCTGACATGATGATGATGATGATTTTTTTATAATTTTCTATCCAGTTAGTTGATTAGTTTTTTTTACAACACAGGAGGCAAACGAGCATGCGGCTCACCTGATGGTAAGTGACTACCGCTCTTTTATATTACCGTATTGTCTTGTCTTATTTATAGCAATAATTATTTATAGGGATGATGTTTAACTTCCAATTTAAATTTTATTGAAATAATCTAAGAGGTTTCTCAATAGACTTAAGGGGATTTTATGTAGTCGTATTTTCTATTAAAATTAAATTTAATGAATTACACCAATTAGAGATATCCGTTTTATTGCTTTCGCTATTGTTCACTTTTTGTTTCCAAATTCTTGCTATTATTATAGTACCAGAGGGAGACTTTGTACAAAAGTCGATTGCTTGGGTACCTCTGTCCCATTCGTGAAGCAGCTGTGTTTGCATGGCTGTGTTTCGGTTTGAAGAGTGGTATATGGCGTGAATTTACTGGGTACAGAGGAATAACATCTGAATCCTCAGGAATGGCAACGCATGGGGGGTATCATGGGCGAAACAGTATACTCTGTTATGTCCATGGTACTGCTCATGTCTATAGGCGACGGTTACCGCTTTCCATCAGGTGGGCCTTCAGCTTGTTTGCTAGTTTAAGTTGTATAAAAAAAAGTACATTTATGTTTTATTGTGAATTTGTTTGGTCTTTGTTATCTATTGATGTCTTAATAGTACAGTGAACAATTTTGTTTACATCTAATGTTTAATGTGGAAAAAGACATAGGTATGTTTTATTTTACTTTAATGCAATAAAAACGTCCCGATCACGCCGAAGAAGTCACGGGTATAAACAAGTAATTACCTATTCGTAAGATTCCTGTCTCTTTCTTTCCCGTGGGTATCGTAAGTGGCGACTAAGGAAATTTAATAACCGAGGTATGGATAGCAGCGTTCCTCTTAAAACATCTTTAAAAGTATACTGCTGTTGCTAATCTGCCTGCCAAGAGTGGCAACTACTGGCAAAATTTTCCAAGAGGGAAGCTTATATTCAGCAGCGGATAATCAAAGCCTGATATGATGTTGAAGATGTTTGCTTAAAATAAATAAAATAAAACACAAATAAATAGTTTAAAATATTAGTAAACGTTAACAGGCAATATAGAGATGTGAGGTGCCCTGTATTAGGTGCCGTCCTCGAAAACGTTGGCAAACGAACTTCGTTCGGTCAAAATTCCATCATGAAAATCGACAGACAAGTTGATGCGATACACAAATGAATCGGTACATATAAATCCAGCAATTTATGGCGATGTAGACATAAAACGTCAGTGCTCTATGAGTACAGCACTTAGGTACGCTAGCGTGGATGTAACATTTTCGCAACATGAATTGAATGCGTAGGTATATTTTCATACATGCAATTTCAATGTATTTCATATACAAGTAAAATTGTTTGGACGTAAATTATGTTAAATTATCAGCCACTGACGTCACTGTTGCATTTTAAACTAACGTTTGAAACGTTATACTTTGAGAAACATAAATATTTTTCGTTCTTTATCTAATATATTCAATATAATTTTTAACCGACATCAAAAAGAAGAAGATTCTCAATTCGGTCGTATTTTTTATATTTATTGCCTCATAATTCCGTCAATTGTAAACCGATTTGGAAAATTGTTTTTTTATTTAATCATAATCGATCCAGTAGTTTTGGTTTTAAATCAAAATAGCTGGTTTTTTCACAATTGAAGTCGGTTTTTTTTTGTGGGAAACAATTTGTAATTATAACACAACTGTATAAATTAATAATATTTTACATACAATTAAAATAAATTATAGATAGTACAGACAATAGCTTTAAGTATTGCCTCTACCTAATTTTGACGACAAATAGAGTAAGTTCATAAAATTTTCGTTAATCATCATCATTTCAGCCATTATCCGTCCACTGCTGCGACATAAGCCTCTCCCATAGACTGCCATAACGAACGGTCTTGGGCCACCTGCATCCATTGACTCCCTACAATGTATTTCAGGTCGTCACTCCATCTAGTGAGGGGTCGTTTTACACTGTGTTTAACCGTACGCGGTCGTCAATCAAGAACCTTTCTTCCCCATCGGTTGTCGATTCTTCGAGCTATACGACCAGCCCATTGACACTTCAGCTTGCTTATCCTTCGGGCTATGTAATTATAATATATTTTATTTATTCTAGATATAATCTCTTGATGGCAGATGTAGTAATAAAATAAAACTCACTACCTCTATTTGTTGTGCTCAAATTCTCACTAGCTTCAAAAATTCTATTAAGTCCTACTATTTTCCCCTTTAGTACTATTCTCCTGTGTTCTTTCTTCATCGTACTCCTTCATTCTCTGCTATTGTATGTGTGTTATTAAGTATGTGTATGTTTATGTATATATTTATTTATACATGTGTATATGTTTGTATATATTAGTACCTATATAATAGTTCGTCACATATTCTTTGTCTTTTTTCTCAATATCCTCTACCCAAAGGCTGTCTGGAGGTGATTACTTACCGAAAAGGTCACCAAAGGTGTTAATTAAGGTGTTAATTAAAATTTACTGCATTTATTGTCTTTATGAATGGTGCAATAGAGTGTAAATAATAAATAAATATAGACATCAATATATATATGGACATTTCTTTATTTATTATATAAACAATTACATATGTTGTATAATATATTGTTTAGAATTGATACTGTGACCATTTCTATGGACGAAGTCGCGGGTGAAAACTAGTTATTTACAAACACTTCTAAAAGACAAGCACCATGATCAGATCATGATTAATGACTATAAGTCGAGTAATCATCGGTATAAATCAAACTAGTCCAAAGACAACACAGACACAGTTGTATTGATTTATTGTTTAGTTTATAAGTTTATCTTTGAGTTCCATAGAAGCAGTTTGTTCTCTGTGACAGATATAACATTACCATATGACTTGATGCAAAATTTCATCTTGATAAACTATATTTTTTATTTATATTATTAACTAGTTGTATCACACGGCTTTGTCCACGTGAATTAGTACATAGGATAAGCGTTGTGAGGTAACCAAACATAAATACATCCGAATTGAGATGCTCCTTGTTTTTTTGAAATTTATTGAAAATCTGTTTTAAGATATAGTGTATAATGTGTACAATATTAAAAAAATACAGACAGATCTCCATTTTGATGGTGTTAAACCTTTGAATTACGTCAGTTGGAAGTACACGATAAATATTTTAAGCTCGTAACTTCGGATTTATTCGACAGAGAGTTTGTACCTATTTTTTTAAAATTAAATACTAGCTACATTAACAGTAATGAAGTAAAGACAAAAAATGGAATAAATATTAAAAATATTTTACTAACTCTTTCTTACCGGTAGCTTTGTCTGCGTGTTTGGGGTAAATTCACTGACCAGGATAAAGAGATATCCTCTCCAGGTTATATAGCACTTAGCCCTTGTTAGCCACATTTCATAGTAATTGGTTAAACTGTTAAGGTAATAACTACCAGTTTAACTTACGTGTAATTAGATTTTTTATTTCTTTTTTTTTTCTTTTTTTTTTACAACGCAGGGGGCAAACTAGCATGCGGCTCACCTGATGGTAAGTGACTACCGCCGCCCATGATCACCCACAACACCAGCGGCATTGTAGGCGTGCTGCCGGCCTTTTAAAAAGGAATATACTCTTTTCGTTCTTCGAGTCGTCTTTCTAGTCGAAACTAGTCGAACTTTCTCGAAAGTTCGACTAGTTTCGGGATGCATTCGTGATCCTTAATCATGAGCCGTTGACGCGAGTGCGAGATTGACTGCGCGTTTAAAATGTAAAAAAAATTAAACCGATATTTATTACATTAAAACATAATGTGTGCTTACG